TGGTTTGCAGAGCGAGCTTCTACACTTTCTACCAGGAAAGTGAAACATTTCCAGCAGAAAAACTGGGGAAACGAGCACTTGAACAGCGAGGGCTGCAGCCCAGCGAGAGGACGAGGCAGGAGCAGCCTCTCCCGGGGAAGCCTGCGCGAGGCCCTCTTCTGGGGGCGCCCTCAGGGGAGCTCATTTTTCTTTAGCGTTTTTCCTTTTCACTATTCTTTATGAAGTAGGATGATTTCAGAGCACCAAGAGCGTGGTGACAGACCTGATGGGAAATCTCTAAGATGACTTATTAACCCAGAGTGTGCGGGGGGTTCCCTAGTTCCTAGACGCTAAGCGACGCCGCGGCAATTTCCACGTGCGCTGCGCGACGTGCTGTTCCTCTCACGAGCCGGCCCCTCCGCCGGCCAGTCGGAATCGCCTGTTACCAACGGCTGGTTTATTTTTCCCAAAGGGAAAATCAGTGATGAGGGAATCGATGCCTTAATGGAAATGAGTTTAGGGGGTGAGTGAGGAGGAGCCCCCGGCGGGACACGCGCCAGGTGCAGGGCAGGACACGCCAAGGTCAGCTCACGTCTCACTCTCGTTTCCGGTTTATCAGTGGCCCCGACTTTGCCCCAATCTCACACACCCGCCTCCCTCCTCAGGAAGGCCCAGCCTCTCGCTTCAGCTCCCCGAGGTTCCTTTGACACCTGTGCATGTCCTCGCCGGGGGCAGGGGGGGCGGGGGGAGGGAGGGCGGCCATCCGTGTGCTGGTCCATTCAGTGCGTGCTCGTGGCGCGTCCGAGACGGCACCAAGGGCGGCGGGGGCTGCTCAGCCCCCTCCCCAACACACTGGGAGAAGCGTCAGCCACATCGAGCAGAGCAAGAACCGTCACGGTGGAAACACCGGGATACCCGACCGTCAATGGAGAGAAAAGAATGAAACGTCTTGAGGATAAAGCAGACGAGTGAGGAACCGTGACCTTCGTGGGCAGAAGCGGCAGGTGCCCCGGTGCCCGGACTTACCTGCTGGCTGTGTCACAAGGCCACAGAAATGCCAGTAACACGGCACACTTGCTCAGGCAGAACAATCAAACAAGACAACTCAACAGTTCACGTGCAATTAATTAGCACACCACCCTCGGTCTGTTAAACTGTTTAATGAATGCATGAAAGGGCAGAAATATATGTAAAGCAGAAGTTCATAACAAAATCAAATTGTAACAACCACCAGAGGCAATTATCATAAATACATTCACATAATTCACAAATGTGTCACGTATACAGAGGATGCGCAAAGTTGCAGCCGATACAGGCACATCGAGTTCCAACGTCACCACCGTCTACTCAAACACCCGTGGACGGCCGTGGGGGGCGCTGAGGCCACAGAAGGGCACAGGAGGGGGCTGACGATGGAGCCAGAGAAGCCTCTGGTCACCAACCAGTCAGGAGTTCCTATAAGGAATCTCAAAAAATATTCGTTCGGTGCAGAAATAAATGCACCCACTCTATTGGATGTTCTCCAGCCGCATCTCTGGCCAAATCTCTCGTCAAAGGGATGCAGTGAATGGCCGAACCCGCTACCGCGCAGGGCATGGTTAGCCTCAGTGTGGCCCTGTGAGCACCCCAGCCCGGGTGAGGGGGTTCCCGCCGCTGCCGGACCCCTGGGGACTCTCTCTACTGTGCCCTTCCCGTGGCCCCAAACGGTACACTCCCCGTGGGATGACAGAACATTGCTACAGAATTAGGATATCGGGTTAACAATGAAGAATTAAGTTCCTGTAGAACTACACTGTGTTTAATGTAATTAAAATGCAATGGAAAAAAAAAATCAGGCAACAGAACACTTGGATTAATTTACAAGACTGTTACACCCCACGGCATTAAACGAAAGAAAAAGTTCTTACCCTGAACAGTCAGAATGGGTGGCACAGAAGTAATACTGAATGTTGGATAATGCAACGCTGAGATTAGCAGGTTATAAATGGAGCTTTTAATGTAAAACAAATAGAGAAAAATAGGGGAAATCATCAGTTCAGAACCCAGATTAAAAAAAAAAAATCTTTGGAAGCGTATGGTATGGAGAAGTAGGAGAGGCGTGTCCTCGCTGCATCCTTACTGTGGATGGCCCAGGACTTCCGTCCCTGTGTCCAGCCTGGTGACTCGGCCAAACCTGACTTCCTCTAGATAAAAGGGAAGAGGAGCAACTTCCAAAGCCGGTGTTTCCAGCCTCGGTGTCAGCGCTGACACGGACTGAGCCTGGGGGAGCGAGACCAGGGAGGCGAGGCTGACGCGCCCAGGTGCTCCCCATCCCTCCCAAGACCCGCACTCCAGGGCGCTGGGAACCTGCTCCTTAACGACAACGCCGTCCTTTCTTTCCTCCCACGACAAAGGAGCGTGTTCTCTGTGAATGCACTTTTCATTTCTGGCTCTCGAAAGAATATGCCTCCTCAAGGAATTCTGAATGCGCTTCCCTTGAATGTCAGCTCCAGCCACACAGGGTGGGTGTCACTGGTGCATTCCGGGGTCCGGGGGTGGTGCGGGCAGCACGTGTCCCCAGGGCACCGAGGAAGAGCAGAGGAGGCACCGGGGACAACAGCCCCTTTCACAGGGTCTTGGGGGCGGGGGGCTCATTCAGAGGCTCGCAGGATCCTGCCTGGAACTCGATCTAGACAGAGAAGCAGCACGATCGCTTTCCCCCAGGACGGCCGGACGGGCTGCCCGTGTCAGGGACGGCGATCAGGCCTGGCAATGCCCTTCCACGCCAGTCTCTTAAGTCTACCCGGAGGACCTCTCTAGCAAGAAAAAGGAGGGCTCTCCTGATCTATAAACAGAGCAAAACCAAAAATAAAAAATTACTCCACGGCAGCCCATGCCAATAAACACCCCAGACTTCTAGGGCTATTGTGGGTTTGTAGCTGGGTGTGGAGTAGGTGAAGCTTGCATCTCCAGTGTTTGAAGGACTCCACAGTAAGAGTAGAGTTGAACAAAGAGTGCTGTTCGCCCCCACTGCACGCCTGCAGCAAGGACAGCGCACGCTAACGTATCACTAGCCTGTGTCTGCAATAAGCTGCTACGTGATTCTACAAGCAAACTAATTGCCTGTTTTGGCATCAAAGGGCCAAGCTGTATTTAAAAATCTTTTGTATTTAACACTCAAGAGTGAAAAGAACTGATACTTCAAAAATTTTAAAACAATTATTTAAAATTTGTTTTTATTTTTAAAAATCCTGTGAAAATGTTTTGATTTTTCTAAATCCCTGACAATCTGGCAACATTATTTTGCCAAGAGAGTGACTTCTTCTGAGACTAGAATCTTTTCTTTGAAAATATTAAAGCATATAAGAGATTTAAAACAATAAAGGTTGTAATCCCACATAAAGGAAGAAAAACATCTATGGATTCATAATCCACTTTGAGATAAAGCCACAATGATTGGTATAAATGCTTTCACCATTATATTTCAACTTAAACCATCATCACGGAAATGGAGCTTGTTTTGTAATATATGCTATCCGGCTATTGCATCTTTTCTGCACAGTTTAAACCCATTTTTCCTGCTCCTTGAATGGAACAGGATAGTTTAAGGTTTTAAGACTGACGACTCTGCGTGCATGGGGATCTTAGCATAACAGCAAGACTCTGCCAGGTGGCCAGAACCCACAGACACCTGGTGTGCTTGAAAAGGCGCTACCAGGTGAAATGCGTGTGAGAAATAGGTCAGGTGGCCGGCATTTGGAGTGACGGAGTATCGCCAAGGAGTGAAGGGAAACCGCTACGAATGCAGACACCGAATGGACCAACCAGCGTGTGAATTCAGTAAGCACTTAAGTGCGACACATCAAGTGTCGTTCACAAGTAAATCATGACGGTGTCACGGCGTGACCTCTCCACACGGAGCACGTATGATTGCCTGAAATTCCAGTGTGCTTTCGTGCCCTTGGGAAAGGTAAACCTGACATCTGTGTTTAGCTTCAACAGTTTCATGATCAATAATTTTAAGAATTGCAGTTGGAGGCCACAGCTCCAAAGCACCCGTGGTTTTTAGGGTGCTCCATTAACAAGATGACGGTTGCTGTCCCACATGTCCTTCAAAAGCCTCTCACAGTCCCCAACATTCAAAATTAGCTCAGGACCCAGGCAGAAACGCTGCATCTCATAGGCTTTGTGAGAACACCCAGTAAACCAGGGGCTTTTTTGGAAAAACTCTCTCTCCAAAATTGCCCAATTATCCAACACTCTACAAAACCCTGTGCCATGTCTCCTCTTTGCAATCTGAACCACTTGGGGGTCCGCTCTTAAAGGAAAAGCAGGCACAGATGACCTACTCACAGTCAGCGCCGGAAGCCCCCTAGAGACTGGACAGCACTTTTTTCCTGTGATATATTTTTATCCACAGAACATTTACTTTTAAACAATGAAGCTTCCAAGATTCTATATTCAAATTAATGGAATCACAAAATAATAAAGTTTTGATTCATCGACACTTGTTCATCCCTCCACCCTTTCCACTAAACAACTCAGACAAAAGAGAGAGTTTGCTCAAGGCGGATTTAAATTCAGGAGCTTGTTCTAAAGTCCCCCTCGACCTCAATCGCATGATTGTTGCAGAGCAGCGTGAAGCTAGCAGCAGTGACTCCAGGAAAAAGTGAGCGTAACCCAGTGTTGAACCCAAAAGAGTGGGCCACAGGCAAAATCAGTTGTAAAGCCCCAAGCACAGAGCACAAGCGTGCGCCGCTTATATGCAGGGCACACGCAAAGACCCAGCATTCAGAACTTCCTTGCATTCCTGAGCCACACCCCATCACAGTCCCTCCGAGGAGGACAAAGAGGGAGCATTTAACAGAAATACCCTAAGCAGCAAGGCAGCCCCTGGGGCCTCTGCACTTTCCAGCCAGGACCAACACCCCAGACACTAAGCGGCTACATGTCAGCTCTTCCCCTAATGGCTTGGTTCGCCTACTGAAGTGTGCTGTCCTTCTTCCATTTCAACTAAAGCTCCTTTACTCCTCAGAGCTCACCTTGCCAGAGCCCCGCTTGGGCGCGCCCCTGTCACTGCCAAAGAAGCGCCCGATGGAGTCAAGAATGCCCGTGTCTCTGTGCCGTGGGAGGAAGCCATGCCGCGCATGGTCCATGGTACTTGCTGTGGCCAGGTACTTGGATCCGTGCCTCTGGGAGGGTCTCTTCTGTGACGCCATCACATCCAGGCCCTCGGAGGCGGCTGCACTGTCTTCTTGGATGGTCTGGAGCTCGTCGGACTCGGAGGGCCTGTCTTTGAAGGTGTTGTCCTCCCTCCCCGGGGCATCTCGGGAAAAGAGGCGGACCAAGTGGGGGCGGCTCCCCGGGTCAGCTGGGTGGGCGTCCTGCCAGGCATTCTTTGGGCCCGCTGTGCGCTTGGAGTCTGTCACCGCTGTGTCCCCAGAGGAGGTCCCATTGTTCTGGTTCGCATCTGCCTCTCCTGCAAACAACAATGAGATGTGAATACGGGCCTGTGCGGGCAGACCGGGGACAAAGCCGCTTTCTTCCAGGGGTCTTGAACTAGCTGTCTCCCATACAGTGCGCAGAGTATGCGCCGTGCCCAGCGAGCCGCACGGCAGCCTCAGATTGCCCCGGGCAGAAACCAACCTGGACTCGCATCCTTGCCGCGGCCCGGCGTTTGGCACCCCGGATAAAACGCACCAGGGCTTCCTGAGGAAGTGACCTGAGCACGCGGCGGGCACCTCAGAGTCTCCCCGTGGGGGCCGCGTGACTGCACTTGGAGAGCACAGAGTGCAGGTACCGTTAGGGACATTTGTTACCTAAAAGACCGCCGGTGCGCAAGCTAAGCACGCCGGGAGCGTTCCTTTGACAAAAGGTGTTTTTAGTGCTCTTAGTAGAAATGGAACTTCCCACATCTTTTTACAATTCATGCCTTAAAGAAATGGGGCATTTAGAATTCTTTCATTCCCAGATTCCACAAGAGGCCTCTCGCACTAGAGAATTGCTTATTCAGGACATTTTGATTTGGCTTCTCCTCCGTAAGCAGCAACAATCAGAACGTTTGAAGTGGGAATGGGATATTTCATGTTGCATGCCACCACCGCATGGCTTTTTACAGAAAATACATTTCTCTCACAAATGGCAATAAACCCATTTGCTCTCAAGTTATACGAAGTTAGGTTTAAATGAACATCATTTAGTTAGTTTCCTCTCCAAATTCTATTACTTATCTACAGAAAACATGGATTCCTTCACACTTTCCCTTAATACTTTCCATCTGTCCATCCATTTATCCTCCCATCTCCTAATCCATCCACCCATCTACTAATCTATCCATCTACCCACTCAACCATCCATTTATCCACTCCTCCATCCATCTACCCACCCATCCATCCATCCATCCATCCACCTACTCTCCCATCCATCCACTCATCCATCCATGCATACATCTACTCATCCATCCACCCATTCATCCACTCACCCATCCATCTATCCATCCAGCCACTCACCCATCCATCCACTCATCCATCCATCTACCCATCCATCCACCCACTCACCCATCCATCCACTCATCCATCCATGCATCCATCTACTCATCCATCCACCCATCCATCCATCTACCTATCCATCTATCCATCCACCCACTCACCCATCCATCCACTCATCCATCCATGCATCCATCTACTCATCCATCCATCCACCCACCCACCCATCCATCCATCCACTCATCCATCCATCTACCCATCCATCCACCCACTCACCCATCCATCCACTCATCCATCCATGCATACATCTACTCATCCATCCACCCATCCATCCATCTACCTATCCATCTATCCATCCACCCACTCACCCATCCATCCACTCATCCATCCATCTATCCATCCATGCATACATCCACTCATCCATCCATCCACCCACTCACCCATCCATCCACTCATCCATCCATGTATCCATCTACTCATCCATCCATCCATCCACTCATCCATCCATCCATTTATCCACTCCTCCATCCATCCATCCATCCATTCACCCACTCTCCCATCCACCCACTCTCCCATCCATCACTCATCCATCCATCCATCAATTATTGCATTGAGCACACTCAGTCCTGTGAGCCCTCCTAGAAGAAGGCCATGCTGTAAGAGGGTGGGCCCTAACCCAGCGACTGGTATTCTTGTAAGAGGAGGGAGGTCTGGACACAGAGACACAGGTGCACAGGGCAAATGTGCTGGAGGTGGGGACTGGAGTGGCGCATCTACAAGCCACGAAGCACCAAGGACCCCGGCACCACCAGAAGGTCAGAGACACAGACAGATTCTGCCCTAGAGCCTTCAGAGGGCGCATGGCCCCAAAGACACCTTCATTTAGGATTTCTGGCCTCTATGACTGTGAAAGAATAAATTCCCGTTGTTCTCAGCCACCCGGTGTGTGGCAATTTGTTTCAGCAGCCACAGGAGATGGATACAATGTGTAATTTTCTATGGCGCAATGATACAAAGAAGACAGACCAGGCTCAGGTCATCAGGATGGCCCCTGAGGAGGTGACATCTGGATGAGGTGACAGTCTGGGCCTGGTGAGGACTTGAGGGTGTGGGGTGCTTCTGGTAGGAGGAAGGCCCGACTGCGGGGCCTGGGCAGGGATCAGCTTGGGGCGCGGCTGGACAGCTAGGCAGCCACTGTGCTGGGGTCAGGGAGGCTGGCGGGTGACAGCATCGGGGGCCACGGCTGGGACCCAGGGGATACAGGGTTTGGGGAGCAGGGGGAGCCCTGCTGGTTGAGAGCAGACTGTGGACAGGGCAGAGCAGGAGGCGTGTGGCGCAGGGCCCGGTGTGGGGTGTGTGGCCGTGTGCAGCCACGAGGGCGGACGGAAGGCCCCAACGCTGGGCGCTTTGGCTTTCACCCTGCGCTGCTGGGCCAGCGGAGGGGACCGGGGTCTGCCTGGGACACTAGCGAAGAAAGGTGTCTGGGCTGGAGCTGGGGGAGTCCCCCGAGTTTACCTGCCATGGGGAGGCAGGCGGCAAACCAGCCCCTAACGCAGTGCAGCCTGACAAGGACGAAGAGTGCGCAGTGTGCGTGACATCATTTTAGACTGGTCTCCTCGAGGACATCTTTGGGTGACAGTGTTGGGGTCCCCACGACCCCCAGTTTCCGAGAGGTGCTGGGAAGGCTCATGGGACTGAGAGTGTGATCCTGGGACCGCGGTGACTGATGACAGTGAGAAGAGAACGGGGCGGAGTCCGAGGAGCCTCTCCTCACAGGGTCACGCAGGACCCTGAATTTTCCAGCAAGTTGTGACCACACCTTCGAAACGCCGTCCACCGGGAAAGGTGGTCCCGGGGCACACGCACACACACATGCACACACACATGCACATACATGCACACACGCGCGCATGCACACACGCGCACACACAAGTACACACGCACACACACGTACACAGGTACATGCACGCACACACGCACACACAGGCACACACAGGTACACACACACACATATGCATGCGCACATGCATGCACAAAGGTACACACATGCACACACACACACGCACACATGCACACACAGGTACACATGCACACACACGCGCACACACAGGTATACACATGTGCACACACGCACACACACACACAGGTACACACACATGCACACACTCGCACACACACAGGTACACACGCACGTGCGCACACACACATGCACACACACACACAGGTACACACACACGCACGTGCGCACACACGCACACATGCACACACAGGTACACACACGCACACATGCACACACGTGCGTGCACACATGCACACACACACATACACAGGCAGAGCACCATCAGACCTGGAACCAGATCTTCTGCGTCCTAATCAGCACATCTTGTAAAAACTTTAGATCGAATGCAATTGCCTCGTGCCTGAGTAGACCTATGGACTGAGCCAAGACGACAGCCCACTCGCCCCCCAGGCCTCGACCTTGGGGACGCTGAAAATAAAACAGCGCATGTGGAAAGCACCTTCCAGCTGTAAACCGTCGTCGGGACTTTGACTCTAATGTAGTTTTTTATCTCTCGATGTTTCTCAAGCTCTCCGTGTCTAATTGAAATGATCTGCCTTTTTTGGATTTGTGTGAAAATGACAGTCACACGGGCTCCTTTGATACCAAGGTCCCATCGGGGGCCGTGTGGAGGACAGGACACCAGTTCTGGGGGACAGCGGCACATGAGCAGGGGCCGGGGGTCACTTTCCTTTGGGTACATACATGTGTGGGAGTTTGGACAACACACACTTTCACAAATACATGCAACAAAAGAAACAGGGCTCCAACCCTGTTGATTTCTTTCCTCAAAATCACACGGGTCAAGAAACTGCCCACAAATGACATTCATCATGCAGCGACACAGAACCTGCATTCCAAGGCAGATTGACTCACTCCCCAGGTACGTTCCGGACGGTGCCGATGACAAAGTAAAACACAAACAGCAGGAACCCAGGTCACCCTGGTCCTATTCACGCTCCTAGCAGGGTGCACACAGCTGCCGGTGTGTCCGATCCGGCCGGGCCCTGCGCCCGAGAAACGGGTCCCGGATCCAGGACCAGTGCAGGAAAGACGGGGCAAGCTGGGGTGGGAGTCTTTGGTGGTGTCCTTCTTTCATGGCCACTGGTACATTCAACTACGTAAGAACACGAAGATTTACAACATGCTCACTAAATACATCGCTGCATTGCAGTGCTTGAAAACAGCAACACAAGGGATCCCATGGTCCGTACAAAGCTGTAGGTTTTGCAGGGATGCGATGCTTATTTATAGGTTGCAGGAGCAGCAGAAATAATTAGAGCCTGGTTTGTAGCTGTGCTTTTTTAATCTCTAGCTAATATAAATTAATGCAAATGTGAGGGGAAAACAATAGCTATATTGTACATAATTAAATGCATTAACAAAACACAAGAGCATCTGAATACTAATATTTTTACAACAGTTGGGCTTTGTGTCCCTGAATACAGTTATTTGTGAAGCACAGAGAAGGGCATTTGTGTCCCAAAAGTAGCTTCTCCCAACACATAAGAAGCATGGCGAGAAGTCTAAATCTGTGGATGTGCAGCATTTTTTAGTAGGGACAGGTTCAGTTTAAACGCATCCATTAATATTGCCTTCAGTCAAATTAAAGCCCAATGCAGACTTTTATTTAGATTATATTTATAGAGCAGAGCATTTATTACACGATTAGATCTAATTTTACCAGAATATGCAATTCTAATATTTTATGTGTTATTGATCAAATTCTATGAATGCAGGAAAACTTCTCTAAAAAAACATACACCTTCAATGTCATCGCTAGAATGACCCCCATAACGCGGGGTCCCGGTCACCAGCACTGTGGAGGGGCTCCTTAGTTTGCTCTACATTGTTTCACATTTGCTCATCTGTCTCTTCAGTTAGACGACCTCCCTCTGAGGGGCGGGGACCACGCTGTGTTTGTCACCAACTTCC